TTCCAGCTTTTCTAAAAGCCGGAAAAAAGCGGCGGACATTTTTATTTAAATGCCGCGGGGGATATTTAAATCCCCCACGGATTTCCCTATTACGATCTCTGAAATTAACATGCCCCTTTCGGAAAAGGGGCCAATGTAGACGAGCCCTAAGAGAAGCCCTGTTAGATTTGCACCTTGGAAGGGGTTTGTTTCATTTTGCACACAGACTGTATTCCTGTATTTATTGCATTCCTGTCCTTTCAAAAGCATGGCTCTGTTGCCACAGAAAACCAACTGGAACATGAGTCAAGAAAACAATGAGAACTGAAGGAAGGAAGGAAAGCAAAGGTGAAAAGAGGAAGAAAAAAAACCTCAACCTGGGAGGGGGATAAAACAAATAGAAAATTGTAACCTAGAGAACCAATGCCTGATGATAATACTCAAGGGCTTATTGAATGTGTTTAATGTGCTTCTAAACAAAGCTGAAACAGTATTTTTGGTTCCTTTTTATCTGGTCTGTGTGGGAGGGAGAGGAGAGGAGAGAGGAGAAGAGAGCAGAGGAGAGGAAAAATGGGGCTTTTTCTGGCTTTTACAAACCACTGTGTAATCTTCAGAGGCTTGCTCGATTACTAGGGTTGATGAAAAGGGCCAGACCCCAGCCAATAGTTTCAAAAGACCCTCATATAAATTATTAATTTAATGCAGAAATATTAGTCTTGCGTTTGTTTGACCAAAAGAAAAAATGAAAAGCTCCAGAGCACTAAAGCACATAGCTCATTAAAAGGAGGCCTCCGTCCTCTGTTAGCTCTTGTCAAGCAGTCTCAGCTCTTCTGGTGATCACAACTGGGACTCTGCCAGGTCAGCAGTTAAAGGTAATCTCAGAGAATCCCTCTGCAAACTGTAATGTACTCAGGATGAAGAACAAGGAGTTCAGGGACTAAACTAATTGTGTTTTAATTTGTGTAATACTCCAGCAAACAGGGTTTCAGTGTTATTCCACTGTAATTCACCTCTTGCAGAAGCAAAATGAAAACAACAGAAAAATATCCCTGATAAATAACCAACCTTTACAAGTATTTGATCTGCATTTGTTTGGGAAATAAAAAGGAAGCACAGTATATGGCCAAAAGAGAGAGAGACAGACAGAAAATAAGGGAATGTACCATACTTTGGCTAATTTATGTCTAATCACGTGGTAGAAGATGAGATCTGTTGACTTCTCTTTACCCCCTACAACTCTGTTCCCTTAATCAATTAATATTATGGACAGAGAAGGATCAGACAACATATTGGTTATCTAATTATTCTATAACCAGGTCATTTTGAAAAGGTAATAGGGTATACCTGCTAAACTACATCAGGTATAGTTCCCAACTGCTCTTGTTAAGAGCTAAAACTCTCCTCTCTGTCACTCCTGAGACTCTTGTAGGGCAATCACCTGATCCCTACTCAGGTTTGCCTACTTAGAAACTAGGGAAGACTGGCTTTGTGGCATCTAGCTGTAAAGGGAAAAGCCACCCTGGTACATGCCACATCTTACTACCTAACCTCAGAGAGACAATTTTTGTGTCAAAATTAAAATCAGGGCCCAGAATCTGTACTGGAAATATTTATTCCCAATCCCAAGATACTGAACAAACTTTTCAGAACAAATGGCTCCATGGTATCCTGTCCCATGATGGAGAATACAAAGTGGAGGGGCTGAGATGCGCTGCTCAGAAAGTAAAATGCATTCAAAGGAGGCTTTAGCTAAAGAAGTCTAGAGACTCCAGACTTTTGGGTTCAATTCTATGTTCTTAAGGGCAGTATGTTCTAGTGATTTAGACCCTTCTGCCCCTCCGCCCACAACCTGCCACCATCTGCTTTTCCACCTATCCTTGTACATCTGAATGAAGTATTGCACAGCCATCCGGAAAGCTCTCTATGGATATGCAAGTCGTCATTCAATCAGTTAGCAGAAACAATGCCACATGACTAAGTTGACTAGGAATAGCTCAATGCCCAAAAGAATATTCACAACAAATAGTTTTGTAAGCTATCTACTGAATAGACAAATATGTCCACATAAGCCATTCATCAAGTAATTTTGAAACACAGATATATTCATAAAAATATAAATATGCCACAAAAAATATACAAGCAGAAAAAGGGCTTAAAATCCTACTCCCCATTCCTCAACTGTGGAAGGGTCTGATCCAATTCAACAGAACAAGGTGGGAGCAGAACCCATGGTGGGGACCCTATGCAGGAACATGCAGCTTTTACATGCTACAGAGCTCTTCATCTTTGAAGCTTCTACACAATACCCTGCAAGTATTTGGGAGGGCAATTGGCTGGGAGTTACTGGGACAAGGACAGGTGGGCCACAACAAGGCCATGATGCCTGAAGTGAGGGAACATACTGGGTGAGGGGACTACTGCGGCTTCAGTGCTGCATTAGTAACCATACAGCAACATGGCTGCCTTTCTAAGGCACAAAGGTAAAGGATTCTTTCAGCTTCCAGCCTCCGGGAGTTCAGAATTTTGCCTAAAGAGAATAGTTAACAACAAAGGCAACACTACATTTTTAAATTTCAGTATCCTGAGAAGACAGCAACTAACACAAACAAAACTGACAATGGAACAGATATTTTACTGAGAGTAAAAACACAGAATTAGAGAATAAAAAGTTAAACTAGTTCTGGATAAGTCATTCCCATTTTATACAACTTTCTGATGCTTCTTCTATTGGATCAGGACTAAAACGAAGACTGGCAATTCATTTTTTTCCCCAGCAACATCAGTGTGCCTAGCTTTCAGGGTCTACACGTTGTCTTGTGATAACCTACAGTACAGTGCTACACAAGTGGCAATAAAAAGAAAAGGTTGTGCATGGCTGCAATAAGTTTGTTCTTCAGATTCTCCATAGTTGTTAATCCTATTTATCTTTATCCTGAGATGCACTTATTATCTGCTCATAGCCTATATTGCTCTCCTGGACATCTGACTTTTCAGTCTAGAGATATTAATTGAAATTCCTGTTCACAGCAAGAAACGTAACTTAACTGTTCAGAACACATAGGGTATGTCTACACTAGCTCGTTAATTCGAGCTAGGTAGGCAAATCAGGCAACCGGAGTTGCAAATGAAGCCCAGGATTTAAATATCCCGGGCTTTATTTGCATGTTCCCATCCGGCCGCCATTTTTAAATCTCCCTTAGTTCGAACGAACTGCCCGTGGCTGCACACGGCAGTTTATAGTTAATCCGAACTCTGTCTTTAGTTCGGATTAACTTTTAAACCTCATTCTATGACAGTTAAGGACAGTTAATCCAAACTAAGGACTTAGTTCGGATTAACTTTAAACTGCCACATGTAGCCACGGGCAGTTCATTCGAACTAAGGGGGATTTAAAAATGGCAGCCAGACGGGAACATGCAAATAAAGCCAGGGATATTTAAATCCTGGGCTTCATTTGCAACACCGGTTGCCTGATTTGCCTACCTAGCTCGAATTAACGAGCTAGTGTAGACATACCCATAGAGACTAGGGTTATGTCCAAACTACAGGCTTCTTTTGGAAGAAGCTTTCTTTGGAAGAAATATTCCGAGAAAACTTCTTCCGAAAGAGAGTGTCCACACTGCAAAAGTGCATTGAAAAAGTGATCTGACTTTTTGAAAGATAGCGTCCACACTGAATGGATGCTCTTTCACATGTAAGCTGTGATCGCTATGGACGGAATGGCCACCAGGGCACTTAAACTTTTTCCTGTTTCCTTTTCTTCCAAAAGAACTCCCTCTTCCCCATCCACACATGCCTTTTTGCAAAAAAGCTCTTTTGCAAAAAGGCTTCTCCTCGTAGCATGAGGATTACCAATGCCGGGAAAACGCCTCTTTTCTTTCGATTTTCTTGCAGAAGAACACAATTGCAGTGTTGATGTTCCTCAAGTTTTGTCGGAAAAACAGCCATTTTTCCAACAAAACTCTGTAGTGTAGACACACCCTAGAAATGCACAGATTTTAGATGTCTCCATAAAAGCCATCGGCACCTATGCATCTTTGCACAAATGAAATTCTGTTTCATACAAATTCAAGCATGCTTTAAGAAAAATGCCAACAACTAACCACAACTTATTAATGTGCTGAATCATGATAGCTACCATACCAGGAAAATAACTGATCCAGCCAGCATATAGTGTACAACAAATTCAAGAGAACAATAGTGTCTGGCTGTAATAGGAAAAGCCTGCAGGATGCGGGAGATAGATTGATTATCAGCTAGGTTTAGGTCAGAAATTTCCTTTCATCCACAGAATAATATTGCACAATTACATTCACAGTCCCATTGACCTATAAGAGCCAAAAAAAGCTGAAAAGAAATTATTTTTAAAACCCATTTTTAAAAGTAGTTTCAGCTAATAAAATTTTACCTCTTACCCTCTTGGCTTTGAAAGGGCATAAAGTAGTTTAAATTGTGTGAAGAATGGTTTCAAAAATAGTTTTAACGGCAACATCTGATATTTATCACTATTAGAGATAACCGACTATATTAGATGGACCTCCTTTTTTCTACTATGACAATTTCTGTGCTTCTATTCTATTAGTAAGGAATTCTGATTCTTGGAAGAGTGAATTGTTCCAGTTACATGGCTGGCAAATAGAAAAGAGAACAATATCTAATCTTCCCCCCTCCCACACTCTAAATATAAACAATATTTTTATATGACCCAGTACCATTCTTATCATGCACATTAAGGATACATTTATGAATCAGACCACAAGAAAGGAAAGAGGGAAGAAATAAACCAATAGCAGTCATGGCTCAGATCTATGATTAGAATGGGGATGCTATGGGCGTTGTACATGCGCAGATCCCCATTAGCATAAATTCAAAATTGAGGCAAAACTTTTCAAAAAATTAAGATTTTATAAGATAAAAACACATTTTTTGTAAACAGTATTGTAGAAAACATTTTGGAGCTATGAAAATGTAAATGTTCCACCACTGCAATAACCAGGCATGTTTTTATACATTTTTTCCAGATAACACTTATCATCATCTGACAATGTGGAAGAAAAATTTCAAGAGCTTTACTTACTTCGGATGTGTGAATTCATCAATGAGGACAACCTTTTCTACCACGTCTCCTCCGATGGTTCGGACTAAATCATAAAAGTCATTTTCAGAGTATTTCTCAGATGGCAGCCAAAAGGAGATGTCATTTATCAAAGGAGGATATTTGCTGAGAGGCTAAAAATAAAATAAAATAAAAAGATCTGTATACACATCTATATAAATGTTTGATTTGGATAGGGATATTTAAAATTCTATTTTATGCTTGTAATAACATGTAAAATAAACTTTCACAGAGTTAATTTCTTCAAATTTTGAAATCTTTGTGCTCTATTTTTGGAAGCATAAACTGAATTGTCAAGAAGCTAAAGCACAGTTGTAATGTGAAAAGTTAATCTCTCAAAATGGCATTGTGAGCTCGCAATGTTCATTGTCTCAGTCCTCCTGATCAAGTTTGCTCAGTTCACAAGTAAAAAGATATTCCTTCTAGCTACCATTTCTGCAAACATATTCAACCTTAATTCTTTCTTGCATATCATCTCTAGTAGTCAAGGCTCTGTAAGGCAAACAATGTAGGTACACTGTGCAATCCTTCCCTATCTTTAATGAGTATGATGAGTATACTCAAAAGTAAAAAATGGCTCTGCAGTTAGAATACAGGCAGTCCCCGACTTACGCGGATCCAACTTATGTCGGATCCGCACTTACGAATGGGGCTTTTCTCGCCCTGGAGCTCACGGGCGGCGAGTCGCCACCCGTGTCCTCCGGGGCGAGAAAAGCTTCTCCCGGTCTCCCTGGTCTGCTAGGGGGGTCCAGCGGCTTTGCTGGACGCCCCCAGCAGACCAGGGGGACAGGAGCAAAGCCACGGAGCACGCCCGCAGTGGGACAGCCCGGGCGCACTTGAGCTGTCCCCCTGCGGGCGTGCTCCGCTGCTTTGCTCTCCATCTCCCTGGTCTGACCCG